CACAATCTAAAATTATTTCAGGATTTGCATGTCCAAGTTACCAATTGTCTTAACTGTCCGAAACACTAAAATAGATCCTACGTATTTGTGTTGAGACCTTAACTGGTGGTCAAAAGAAAGTATACCAAGTTTGTTTAATGCGCTTTTAGCACTGTTGTTGAAGTTGATAATGTATATTGACCCATAACATATTCAGTTTGTAAATTGTAATCTGTAGATGGCTATTTTATGTTAAATGAATTGGTTGAATGAAGACAGTAGTAAGCACATATGACACCTACCATATATATACAGTTTGCAATTTTGTGTCTCAAAGGAATGTTCATGCATTTCCAAATGTGGTTACGATACCCATCAGCAGTTGTGAATTATGCGAAATATGTTGGATATGTCACTTTAAAAATCTGTGAATGAAGTTATCTTTTGAAAATTCAAATGATTTTGAATTATGCTTTTAGCAGTAAATGAAGTCATCTCTATAGAATATACCTAAATAGAGATATTTTCAAAACGACGCATAAAAATAATAAAATCAAATGATGGTATAATGCCCTCTGTATATTAAACAGGAGATACCAGGTAGGATATCATGTTGATGTAGGATCACAGGATTGCTTGGTACGTGTGTAAGAGTCAAATGTTATTTGCTACCAGCATCCAAGGATTCATCAGAACAAAATGAATATATTTACATTGGTAGGACATTATTCCCCCATGACATTTCCGTGTGTGTAGACACCCATGGATGATTTGAGCACAGAGAGGAGAATAAAACGTGCGACTATCTCCTTCGTTAACCGTGAAGATCCGGGTTAGAATTGGTCTTCGGCAACCAATGCTTGTCGTAAGAGGTGACTAACGGGATCGGGTGGTCAGGCTCGCCAACTTGGTTGACACATGTTATCGTATCCCAGTTGTTTCTCATAGATCGACGCTCATGCTGTTGATCCGTGGACAAACATGTGTTTCTGAAGACCAATTCAACCGGGACCTTACGAGCTTAAGCATTACGTTATATGTCACTTGTAGTTCTACTGAACAGTCTGAAACGATCAGTGCAGTCATGCGATTTAAAACCGCATGGAACCTTAAAATTGACCAAAAATGTTCATAACAACATGATATCCTAGTATGGAAACGAATAAGGGAACACATACAAATACAGGTTTTCCTTTATGTGTTCCCAGATTTTCACCAACACAGTGCAATACAAAGCAAGAAATTTGAAAACTATATTGGAACATTAATTTTGTACTTTCATGTGTTCCTTTATTTCCATCAGTATGTAACATAACAATGTGTTCATCGATCACTATAAAATAATGATGATAGCAGGTATCGCCGAAAGCTGGGAGTATTCTGTCCTGCAAACCATGTGACAAAAAATACATAATCGTTTGGTGATATCACAAACAAGAATAAGTGGTCGGAAGCAATGCAGAATTTCTGCAGACATCAAACCGCAATATTGTCAGGCTATTCTTTGGAAGAGTCATAAAGACATGCATACTATTGTAGCCAACAGAGCCTTACATCAGGTTATCAAGTTATTTCCAATCCACCAAGAGACATGCACCATTTATTCTACAAAACGACCCTAGCTTGCCAATCTGACAACCGCTATTACCTAATGCTTTTCAGTATAGGGGTGCATGTTGTACCTGAATATAAAGGACCGCATTCAATACGCCTGTTGATCACTGCGCTAACAAAAGTTGTCGGCGCTATGACAACACCACCCTCCTCAACACAACATATTGCCCCCTACAACCCTTCATATGTTGGCTGCTTAATCCTTCTACCGTAAATATCAAATCGGGGGCGTAGTGTTATTCAAAACGGGGGAAGATTTTTTTTATTTTTGTAAAATTTCAACAATGAGTATTCAATTAACAGTCAAATGACACACTTAATTACAAGTGAACCCCGTTGGATTATTGGGACTGAATAAAAGTCACCGAAATTTACATTCACGGAGTGGTAGGGGGATATTTACTGTGATTATATTGAAATGTGAAATTGCTTTAGCTATGACGTTTAATGGATCACAATACCCCCACATGCGAGAAGAACATTTAAACATGGTGCATTTCCTGATTGAAGAAAAGTTGTAGGTACTATTTAAAGATATTTCGTTATTATTTCATAAATCTTTCATGTGTTATTTCTTTTAAAGTTGTCAATTTGATCATATAGATCGCCTTTTATTGCTGTTTGGATTTGATTTCAAGCATATGGTCTTCAATAATTTATTATTTCATAAATTCATTCTATTATGATTTCTAATTTTTAATACTTCCAATACGGTAATGAAGTTCAAGATGTTTGGAATAATAAACATTAAGGTTTTCTAAATTCCTACAAAAGAAGTAAGGAAATGATCGCAGCAATAGAAACAGGTTGATTAAGATATTAGAAGCAAACCTTTCAATTCTGTCCCACAATGTGCCCTTCTCTTTAACACGTGTCCCCTTTATATTGAAAAGAACATACTACCAACCAAGTGACGAGGAAAAATACAATGTCTCAATTAATATACATGATGTTCTCTGCAAAACAAAACGTTGCTGAAACATAAGGAATGATCATTTCTGTGCGAGCTGTAAATGTATTTTGAACATTCGTTTATAGCATCCTTAATCTTGGAACTCTGTTGTGTTGATAAAGACATGTCGGGGATATAGAAGCGCGCGTCTTCAAAATTGATGTGACCAAATAAGTACAATTATAGTTACGTTTTCAAAACAATACTAAACTATAGTCAGAGGCCATAATACTGCAAACATAGGATTCAAGAAACAAATAGGACAGCATCGTCACATCGCCATCGAATAACCAGCCATTCGGGGTTTCTTCTTCATTTAGCAACCCGTGAAGGTCCTGGTTAGAATGAACCTTCAGTAACCCACGCTTGTCGTAAGAGGCGACTAACGGGATCGGGTGGTCAGGCTCGCTGACTTGGTTGACACATGTCATCGGTTCCCAATTGCGCAGATCGATGCTAATGTTGTTGATCACTGGATTGTCTGGTCCAGACTCGATTGTTTACAGACCGCCGCAATATAGCTGGAATATTGCTGAGTGCGGTGTGAAACGAAACTCACTCACTCACACTTCGTTTGGCCATCATCAAACCATGTGCTAAAAATACATAATCCTTTGGGTGATATTACAAACAAAAATAAGTGGTCGGAAGCAATGCAGAATTTCTGCAGACATGAAACCGCAATATTGTTGGGCTATGGATGTATACTTCTTTTTACCAGACAATTATATTTTGTATACCGTAGAATGAATTACGTTAATTGTGCGGTGAGACATGAAGCTAAAACCACTTATCTATGTGTTCGTTTAGTTTGATCTTCCATATCACTAAGAGCTTAGAGTATCGACCTTAAGATGCAGTCGTTAACTGAGATTTTGGAGCAGGTATTGAACCATTATCTTTGTGGTAGTTATTTAACAGCATCTAAAACTTTAACTCACACAAAGCCTCAATATGCTAAACCTAGTATGCTTACTCCTGTTTTCTTGTCTGATATCCACATTAATGGCTACACTTGGCTTAAATGTTATTTGGTCATCATCTAAACAATGACGTTATGTTCAGCTTTCCCGGTGTTAGCTTTTGTGAATGCTGCTTTAAGTCACTCAGTCATCTTACCTATTTTATACTGAATTACCTGCGAATGTTATACCTAAAGTAAGTATTCATAATTGTCAACACCAGGGAATATTCAGCTTCGATCATCTTTCGAAACCGATTCCACTGGGATCAAAATGCAAATCATTTATGAACATTGGATATAAGATGTATACATTTGGAAGTGAATACAGGATGAATGTGAACGTGTTTATTATAAGGAACACGCAATTTGGTTTAACTACTTACTCGTTTATTAGACCCGATGGAGGTGTAAGAATAAACGTTGTGTACTTGATAATATAGAAATTGACAACCATAAGTACTCACGTTCATGTGTATCACTTACAAACACCATTCAAATATTTGTATGAAAACAGCACATCCGTGATGACTCGGGTATTCGAGATTTTGTACATTGTGTAACTCTCAACAAAATGGCGACGAATTCCACTATTTATTTAGATGTAAAGCATTGGCGAATGAACGTTCTTCTTTTATCAGTTATTGTTATTATAAATGGCCTTAAATGTCCAAATATAAGCAAATTGTTGGGAATAATAGGGTACATGTCCTGAAAAAACTGTCAAGATTTCTGAATGTTGTGTATGCCATCTTGCTGGAGCCTCTATATAACTATGTGTAAATATAACTCATGTACCACCGTTGGTGGTTCCTTTGAGTAATAAAGTGTATATATGGAAAGGGTTAACATATATAAACCCTCGAAACCTGAAGTAAAACTCCAAAAATTTAAAAAATTATCATCATATGTCAATACATCACGTGTAAATCTGACCGTGTTAAAACTGTGACTCTAAATAAAATGAAAAATAAAGCGAAACAGGAGATACTATCAGCTATCCCCGATATGTTGACGGCATTAATCAGTTGACATTACTTAACCATGTTTGCTGTGACGGTTTTCCTAATAGGGGAGTATTTTCGTGTTGGACAATGCTGCAGATGACGACAAAGATGTTCCCTCATGAAAGGGGTTGCTGGAAGGGTGGGGATACAGAGAGCTGTAACTCAGGGAGGGGGCTGGCTTGTCAACATGTTTATAGTAAGCCTGACGCCAGGGCTACGGCTGATAATGATGAAACACGTGTCCCTCTGCATTATAATAACCTGCCTAAATTTCAAATTGTTCCCTTTAAAACATATTGGATAGACACAATTCATCGTGTGTCGGGCACCGCAATATGCCCCGGTGACATATGACTGTTGGACACAAATGAATGTTTCGACGTGTCAGTCATAACATAAATTATGCGTCCTCTGCTTAGCATGTCGAGCTTTGACATGGAAAGAAATGGGAAAACAAGTGAGATAAATGTCAAGATTTATTGTAAAACTAAAAGATATATACAGATGGTTTATAACCATTTATTCAACATGTACAAATAGCAGGTCCCCTTGCTTAGCGGGCGACTCGATAACGGGACAGGCACTTGGTGATGCATATCGGCGGCGATCAGGTAGCAGTCATAAATACAACAATGCAACTGTGAAGGCAATTTGTCATACATGCATAGGTTTCAAATTCACGTCAAATATGAACAGTGTCGATTCAAAAAATATGATTCTATATTTCCTGGACAGGTGGCGATATACCAGGATAACCTGACACCATAGCATGTGGCATTTTAATAGTTTGTACATTGTGAAAATATTAAACAACGTTAAAAGGATCTCACAAAATATTCCTTTATCAATGTATCGCATATGCCTTTCAATGAACACAGTTAGTCCTATCAACAGCCTAATTGTATCTCTGACGCCCTGAGAATATATTGCACATATTATTAAATACATATGTAAACAGTAAATGGTAAATATAATATATATCAAGTCATATTGCACAACTCCGGCCCTCGGTTTTGTATTGTCCTACAGTGTTCAGATTGCAAGGTCCTCTCTGTGTTTTTCCGACACCGTCGTGTCAGTCGGCCGCTCCCTCCCCTCCGCGTGAGGTAAACGTGAATCAGTTTCACAGTCGGTCCCTGTCAGACACGAAGGCAAATCCGATTCAGACATGCAAATTTCCTCGTCTTCCTCTTCGCTGCTTGTCTCATCGCGCCCACAAGACACGCCCCTTTCGCCTTTCCCTTCACACGAGCTGTCAATCTTCCGTTTGTCGTGTCGCGAGGAGCACGTGCGCAAGCAGCGGCATTGGTCACGTGAGTCAGACCCGCCTTCTTTCTTGTATTTGACACGCCTATTCTGGAACCAGATCTTCACTTGTTTCTCTGATAGGTTGAGATATGTTGCGATCTCGATACGACGAAGCCGGGAAAGATACATGTTCGATGCAAATTCTCTCTCAAGATCTAAGAGCTGTGTGCTTGTGAACGCTGTACGAATCCGCTTGCTGCTTGGCAGATCGTCCGACGGTCCGTTCACATCTGAAATTCAACGTTGATACGTGAGAACACAATGAATTACACTGCGGTTTTTAATGCAGACACTTGCATTATTGAATACTCTTAGAATATGCATAAATAGTACCACAACATGCAAGGCAAGAATACGAATGTAACTGAGCTGTAAATTCACCTGTAGAGACCATATTTTAATACTACTACGAATACAAAGATGTCGCATAACGTTCTTAAGAATTCAAGAAGTATTTAAGAGAATATAACACCCTCGTGAAGCATATACCGTGTATCGTTAGTTGGAAAATAAAGAGAAAATATTAATAAATCAAGTTTTGTGAAAAAAGGAAATAAACAGCGTTTCGTCATGCTTAAAAGAATTCCTTGCATTTATATACATTGTATTGTGTAAAGTTTGCCGTTTCAGTTAAACAGATAACCAGAATCTTTAAAATCGGATTCGACGTCACGAGATGCATGAATATACGCTTAAGATTTAATTAAAATTGCGGATTCGATAAAACTTTGAACGCGTTGTGTTATTCGTCTTACATTACCCGACTGTGGGCCTTTCCGTTTTATCATTCAACGGCAAGACAAATGCTTTAAATATCGCAATGATGTCTCGGTTCACATTCATTCTAACCCCCTACAGACAAGTGAAGGCAGTACATAATTTATTCCCTTCATTGTTTCAATTCTAGGTCTCATCCACTTTGAAAGACTATAAACATACGGAGGAGGATTGTCAACTTCTTTATTAGAAGGAACACAACCTATTAGAGCATATGTTCAGCTGACGAGGTGAAGAAGAAGCGTGCACTCTAAAACGTCATTTTCCTCATAATAAAGAAGTAGACATTCAGGAATTTCTTCCTTACTCGAATTTAACTGTATTTACATGTTCAAAAAATATTGAATGTCATTCATAAAACTGAATACTAAATTGTCGTTGTTGTCAAACAATAGGCTATCGAAATATGTAAAAGATGAATAAATCATTTCTGTCTATGTATTTGTATTACGATGTGTTATTGCGTTCTTGCAACTGTGAAAAAGAATTTACTCCGGCAAAATCATCATATTTAAATTAATTTTGTTCAAGAAGTATTTCTCTGTTCTCATAGTGTTAAAACGCAAATGTCATGAAATTAGTTCTACCAAATGCCGATATCAAATTTTCTATTAAGTCAAAGTCAAATGGTCACTGTATTTTATTTCAACCATGAAACTACAATAAACCGAATTCGATAGTGATGTGACCTCTGAACTTTGGTGATAAACCCAAGTCTATTACTTTCACAAAGCTTTTGAAGACAGTGGGCGTGGCTAAGGGCGTGGTTCAGTATTGGACAGAAGGGACATTGAACGCACAATATGTTCGACGGGTCAATATATTTTTATATGGTTTATTTTTAAATTCAGTTTCATACTTGCAATATGTTGGCAATTTAATATTATGTTAATTTTTAAATTAGGTTATTCCCGTATCATTTTTGAAAAGAAAACTTGGAAAAGTGATTTCCTAAATAGTGTAGGCCATGTACTATTGATTGCATCGCTCTTCTACTTCAAGGATAGTCTTTTGTTGTCAATAATCTCAACTGTGTTGGCTTAGAGCACAGTATGAATTAGCTGCATCAAAAACAAAGATCCACATCTGTAAATTGTGATTTTAAAGATGGGTATTTGTTTTGAGAAATCAAAACAAATCATTTGAAAGAGAGAAATCATTTGTAAAATTTGCAAAACACTAAATTGGAGGTTTGGAAAACACTTTATAGAGAAAACGAATTTGAATGAAGTTTATTTCAAGTAAACGACTGTTTGTCCCTGCGTAACATATTGCAAGCCTCCTGAAGTTAACACTAAATATTGTCATTCTTCCCAACAAGCGATTAACGATGTTACCTTTTTTAATAGTTCTTTACATGTGAAGAACGCTTCACAACAATGTAAGGCCACGCAGTGATTGACTCAACACTAGGAATTTAGCGGCAAGCTTGGCATATACTCTTGGAATATCCGAATCGTGTAGAACAGAATGGTCAACCAGAATGTAAAAATAATGTCTAAACTTACCGCTGTTTGTACATCGTGGCCGCTTCTGGGAGACAGGTTCGTACTGGGTAGTGACAGCGGAGTGAGGCTGGTGTTGGGAGTATGACGTCACCAAGTCCAGGTGGGGGTACTGATGATTAAACCCTTGGGTCAGGTGTCCCCCGATCATAGTTTTTGGCATAGGCACTAGGGTAGAAGCAGGCTTGAGGGGGGTGGCTGCGGACACTGTTGTGGGTACAGCGGCCGACGGAGAAGGGTGTATACATAGTGGGCAACAGAATCCAAGCATTTCCCCTGGGTGTCGGACGTAGCTGGGGAGGGGTGCGGCCGAGTGTAGGAGGTGGCGGGACAGTAAGGCTTCACTGACCGGGATGGAAGGGTTTACCCCCCTAGATGACTCGGACGATGAGTGACCAGGCTTTACCATCAGAGAATCCACATAGAAAGAGCGAGACATCACTGAAACTGATTTTAAAGCAAATAAACAAACAATTTGCGTGTAATCGCCTCATGAAAACGCGCTTTCCCTCGATTAACGATTTGTAGTGAGTGTGTGATGTGGGCAAGTGTCCCCCGGATATTTATACGCCCCGTGCTCTTTTGTCCCCTTACACACGTGGCCTTACTCGGCAATTAGGCTCCTATAATTGATCTTTCTCCATTCATAGCTCGGCGATTTGATTCGCGAATATATGCATGGCGGTTTTAATGGTCATTTTCCCCGGCCTATCGCTCCCGTATATGGCACTGATCACTTCCCGACTTCCAACGAATCAACTGTGTATGTTCATTACTCCGCCTGACTCGGCAACACTCGGCAAGAGTCGGCTCCCCACCCCCAGACCGACTCGTCAGCTTCTGCAGCCCCTTCCGAACGATGGAGTCCCGCAGACGTCGCGCGTGACGCACGTGCAGAACATAAGCCATACTAACCGAAAGTCTGTAGTAGACTAAACCGAGAAGAATGGCTTTCTATCGAAATCCATTTCTATACAAGACTGACGATCTTTTATTGTGTTTTGTGATCATTACGGGGCTTTCGCTGCGCCATTAGAGGCAGGGAGACTAAGCCAGGTCTTGTTACTCGATAGCAGTGTGTAACAGGAACGACTCTGGCTACATATGGTAGCGTTCAACTCTATCCTTACGTCCAATAAGTGCTTTCCATTTTCCACTCAACCCTCGCCTTAAAAACATAACCCCAACCCCCAAACCACCTACCCATAACCTCTGATTACATCCGTGACATTTACCTGATAGTTTTGCGAAATTCAATATAGTTAGAATATATAACAGAAATCTCTCGTGCACATAATATCAAGCCCAACACATTTTACTGTTTACATATCAATGTTATTTTCAATATTATATATATCAGTGTTTCAAAGACATGTTTCTATTACAAATATCCCTGGACAAAACAAATAACGTCATTTTAACAATATTTAAAAATAACATTCTCATTCCTATTTTTATTTTTGAATTCGTTCAAACTCGTCTTTATATGTAAAGATGAAATATTAATTTGTCTCATTTAAACAATGCTATTTGTACTGATGTCAGCAAGGGGAGTTAACACTAAAACAGCGACTATGGTCTAGTAGTCGTATGTATTGTACTGTGTCAAATACGGCGAAAATACAATACGAATCTCACTATTTGACTACTTTGATCGGCCATCTAGATGTAATAAAACTCCAATGACAGTATCAGGGCTTTCCGATCCAGCATCAGAAATGTCACACAGGGTCTGGAGTAAATTAGTGTCGATGCTTAAGTCACAATACGTTTGTCATAGTACGTTAGTCACAATATTGTCGTCACCATCTTTTCACACTGGTTAGTGACGAGGCATCAGGCGTGGCTTCACATTACTATTTCGGACTATGAATATATGGATTATTAATAAGTGAACACATCCTCCAGTAATCACTTTATGGGGCTAATATTTTTTACGGCCCTTATGAGGAACTAGAGTACGGTTCATTAATTTCCTTTTAGTGCTGCGTTAGTTTAATTTCAATTTCAGCTGCCTTATTTTGAAAATTTTATGGTTTTATAATTCAAATGTTGAAGTTTGCTAAGCACAAAGGCGTTGTGTGAAAACAAAAATTAATCTTATATATGGTAATGATAAAGCAAACGATTTTTTCATGTCAGTTTTATTCACTTTGAAATGACTCAATACATCATATCATTGTCGGTGTTGTGGTCGTTTTAACGTCTTTGTCTTCCATGGACGTAGACATCAATTTGGGATGCAATGTCATTAAACGTGAGCTTTCAAGATGAACAACTTTGTCCATTTTAAAAAAATAGTAGTATAAATAGTGAAAATAATATTTTATATGTTTATAGATATTGAAGGGAGTGCGTGTCTGTATGTATCATCTTATGAACATCATTTGTTTAAACATCTGTCTGACAATGTCAATTTTGAAAGTATGTTTTGATATCTATCACGATCGACTGCTTCTTGTTCGAGTTCCAAGCATCTGTATTAGATGTTCGCATACTGCTTTTCTCTGCAAAAGCGAACATGATCACTGCAGTTTGTTTTTGCCGCACTTAATTAGTGTAAAGTATATCACTCTTAATTATCGAGTCTGGGCTTGACGCACCAGAGTGAAATCATGGCCAACAATGTAAGCAATATGGCACGGTTGGGCACAGTCATATCATTATTCGACTGTAGCAACCCTATTCTCGTTTACCTATTACAGCAAGCACTTGGTTTTGTAAACCAATTCTCCACAGAAATGTTGTCGTGGCCTATGCAATGAGTTTATGGGTATCTATTTTGTTATTCTTTTTTTATTGGTTCCCAAGATTACAATGTCATATGTACAAAAGTGAGGTACAGACAGATGGATGATGTACGGATATTATGTCAATATCATTTTAATACACATATATAAGTCAATAAAAGAGAAATATGATATCAGGTAAATATGGATATATTTTTAATTCATCAAACTACTGGGAAGAGAAGGACCCATTTATGATTGAAACGTTCTATTTTATTATTATTATGGTTTTCCACAAAGAATCTTTCTTTCAGAGTTTTAATAAATAAAGATACGTTCGGATGTGTAGTCTTAATGCTGAATATGTAAATGTGTCTTTTTGCTGCAATGATGATGTGATTTAGTAATATATTATGATGTAGAATACCAAACCAAACCATATGTTTTGATAATAGCAATGGATGAGGGTATAAATTGTTAAGCCAAATTTGTAGGTTTTTCCCAAACGTTTGTGTCTCCTGACATTCCCAGTATATGAGTATCTATTATTTTCCCAGATTTCATGCCCTATTTAATGTAAGTGGAAATTTAAGACATAGTTAGTTTTTATTAAAAGTACAGAGTGTCTACAATTTTCATTATAAACTGAGCTTACAACTTGGAGTTGATCAAACATATATAAACGGCATGAAAAGGTTACTAGACTGAAAACAGTTTTCGAATCTCAACAAACTTAAGGTCCAAAACATAGCTATGATGCCGGTATCATGCATATCCGTCGAATAAATATTCCTCATCTATGCCATTTTAAGCCACCATCAAAGGTGACTGTATACTCATATTTTGCCTGGCATTATATGTTTATTTAAAGATAATTTGTGTTTTCCTTTGGAATTGTGTTCTCGTGACCCTGTACTGAATAATGCTTGTGTTATTACCGATGGGTCATAAGTGTATCTTTACAGCTATCAGCTTCACGGTAGACTACGTTCTACTGCAGACGGAGATATATATCTGGTAAGATAAGATTTATGAAAGCTAAACTTGTCATGCTAAGACACATCGTTCGTCATTGCAGTATGGATTGTGAGAGAGTGAGCGAGTGAGTGAATTTAATTTTACGCTGCTTTTAGCCATATTCCAGCAATATCATCATCATCATCATCATCATCATCATCATGAAAACATTTATATAGCGCCAATTCCAGTCCAAATGTACTGCTCAGTAGCGCTTTCGGAACAACTCAAGAATGAAAAGTTAGACACTGTATGTTTTCTTAAAAAGGTATGTCTTCAGTTTAGATTTGAAAATCTTCAGGTTGTTTATTGTGCTTAGCTCCAGTGGAAGATGAATCCAGAGAGTGGGTCCTGCCACCTGAAATGATCGATCCCCAAACCTGGTGCTGGACCTAAAGTGTGGGACAACAAGAAGACCATGATTTTCAGATCGGAGACTTGGGTGGGGCTGATATCTGGTGATCAGGTCGGATAGATACTTTGGAGCTGGGTTATTGAGACACTTGAAACCAAAAAGGGTTAGTTTGTATTGGATTCTGTCTGATATGGGAAGCCAGTGTAATCTCTGCAGAACAGGAGTTATGTGAGAGTATTTCTAATATCACGACGGGGACAACAGAAATGGGTTTAACACAGTGTAACCCATGTGGGGAATCGAACCTAGGTATTCGATGTGACGAGCGAACGCTTTAACCACCAGGCCACCCCACTGGCCCGTGAATAAATACAAACTCAACTAAAACTACTTAGCTGACTGCAGTTCACCAATGAAACAGTAGCTTAAAGCTGTTTGTATACATACCGACAGAAACTAGTCCATAACATTAACTTAATGTAGCAAATATCTCACTCATATTTATGTATCGGTATGTGACGTCATTAAACTGTTATCGTGACACGATGTACCGAATCTTCTGATAAGCGAAACACAATAAATGTAAAACAATGGTAGATAATTAGAATATTATTTGCATATATTTTTATATTCAGTTTCATTTACGCTAACAAAATGTTAATCCTTTATAGAGATGTTCATGTTTTCAAGCACCCGGTATCTTCACTAATTATCGCCGCGAATAGCTGCAAAAGGTCCGATGCGGCGTTAAATAATATTCACTCACTCACTCACTAATTTAAAGTGATTATAAATGCATTCACATAAGATGTAGTCAGACTCTGCGTTTAGCTGAGAGTGATTTTGATCAGTGAAAATTGTTTTGTCACTCAAGCACGTTAATCCATCAGTAATGACCATATTGTTTGGTGCCTTTGCTATATATATACACCTATAACGAAAGTGCCTAGTAAAAAGCCTATGCGGCATACGTACATTACTAGAACGAGTTGAGACATACGAACCTGTAGATACAGTATATGTAGCTCCACTGACCGACGTTCACTGCTCTATATAACCGCTAGCGGTCATGTGACAGTTTATTGACTGACTGACTGAGTTGGGTTTTACGCCGCTTTTAGCAATATTCCAGCAATATCAAGGCGGGGGACATCAGAAATGGGCTTCACACATTGTGCCCAGGTGGGGAATCGAACCCGGGTTTTCGGCGTGACGAGCCAACGCTTTAACCACTAGGCTACCCCACCGCCCCCGACAGTTTATTCTTACCCTGATTGTAACCAAATGATCAAAACTCAATGGCGATCTTTATCGCTATGAAAGCGGGTATGTCTTGAACAGCGCACTTTGCAATTATTATTTTCAGTGTGAATAATATTACCTGTCGCCCGAATGA